AGACCACCAGAATAGGCAACCATTTAGCGTCTCTCCATGAGCGGATACTATAAATGTCTGTCTTCCATTTCATTTGCATGTTGAAAAACCAGCTTAGACATTCTTTTCCCTTGTAAAGATTTGCCCAAAGACCATAACTTTTTGTGGAGCTTGCTGAGCAAGGTAGCAACATGGACATGAACTCCCTCAACAGGAGGGTGGCCTTGACAGCCATCTGTAGTGAAAGAAGTTGGCTGAAGAGGTTCTTTTGTTGGGAACAATTGTAAGATTTCGTAGAGAACCATCAATAAGTGTCCTATGTTTCTCTTCATCATTGCATCCCAAACTGATGTTACTGAATATTCTTTTTGCTGCCCCAGCTTGCAAAACCTAAACGTGTTTCCTCAGCTACAAAGTCTTGCCAACTGCAGCATTCTTATTGGACAAGACTGAGTTCCTTAGTAAATTAGCCAGTTCAAGGAAACCCATGCTTCACTTTACCTTCAAGGTTTTGAATTGAGCATGATCGAATAGTGTGAATCATCTACTTGGCAGTAACAGTGAGTTACCAGAATTGTCTTGCAATTGCACCCCCACCCCAAAAATTCTCCTCATTTTTATTCTGTGTCTAACCTCTCTTTAGTTCTTAGTCAATCCTGAATAGTCCTACTTTTTCAAGTTGGGACTCTAAAACCATAATACGTTGCTGTCCTTTAAATACTTTATATACAAAATGAATGGTAGTCTAACATGATCCTCCTTTATGCCTTTAAATTTCAAATAGTCATTATGGTGGCCTGATGTATTTCTTACTTTCTTTTGAATTGTTTTTGTTTTCAGAACTTTCTTATTGATGAAGGAAGTATAGCATTGCTTGCACTCTTTCTTATTGTTTTTACACAGTTAAAAGTTGTTGACATTGCGCAAATAATGTGTCCTATGGCCAAAATTACCTTATGAGTACAATAATATAGATGAGTAATTGTAAATTAGTGCATCTACAATCTATTAAGTAATCCCTTTTTGTTAACGGGACATGTAGATGGGGGAGGTTGCTGTACCAATTGTAATAGAACTTAACGGAGTCAATTTGATTACTTCCTTGATGTGTTACTAGATAATTCAGTATTGCTGCTCCTTACAAACATACTCATGACCAAATGGTGTTCATAATTATTTTTGTTGAAACCATAGTTTAGTTTGCACGAACAGGTAACTTGATAGGCTCTCCTTCAGCTTTGGCTGCATTTTCTCATACTGGATGTGGATTAGGCTTCCGAAATTTGTGGTGTGCACTGTGGATGTGTGTTTCAACACTTAAACCACTATAATACTGACCATGGTGATGCTGCAGGTTTTAATTCCATTAATTTCTTCACAACTAGAAGTTGCTGCAACAGCTGAGGACACAATGAAGATAAAATCTTGTCTTTTTACAATTTGCACTTCGCTCTTGGTATGGAAGTGCATGTTGTCCACACATTTGTTATCAACTCTTTTTACAACTTATAAATTATCATTTCAACCTTTTGATTATAGGTCAGAGGCATGGATTCATATAAGCATCCTGGCATGAGTGTAATAAGGAAGACTATAAATACCATTTTATCTTGGCCTTCGATGGATAAAAACGATGGTGAGTGCTTGATGATCTCTCATAAGGTGTAAACTTTAAATCAGATTTCTGATGGCTGCTCGGGAATCTTCAGTCTTGAAAGCACAACATGGATGCATTGATTGCCTGGCATGGATGATGTGTGCTGAACTAGAAGGTTTGAAGCGAGGAAGAAGTTCAACTAAAGATGAAGCACGCATGATTGATATGGGCCTATCTTCAGGTTGGATTTGGCTTCTTGTGTTCTCTTTTCCTTCTTAAATCATCTGGAAGAAACCTATTTATGTTAAAAGCCACTCATGCAGGGAATGTTGCTTTAGAGAGCTCAGTCTGCAATTACGTGATTGGACTATTGACTGCCAATGCTAATGATTCTGTTTCTTCTGGATTGGCTAAATGGAACACGGAATCAGAAGCAAAGATGCACATCTCATTTCGTCTTTGCATGGCTAATGTCCTCATTAGTGCTTGTCAGAAGGTTTCAGAGTCTGGCAAGATGCTATTGGCTCAGAAAATTCTCCCACCTGTCATTTGCTCCACCAGGGTATTTCGTGTTATTATTTCACAGGTTTTCCTATATGAGCTTGTCATTCTTCCTGCTCATCTCTTCATTGTTGGCAGGCAATTATAGAATCTGAAATTAGGGCTGCCTGCAACCAGGTTCTCTTCTCTGCGGTGTACCATTTGAAATCTGCAGTTCTTCCTTACTCCGCCGATATTCTGAAGATTGCATTAACTTCACTTACAGATGCTATGGAAAAGGTAATACGGTGACCTTTAATATGTTTGGATGTTGCTCATTGGAATTGCAATACAAGCACACATACACATGCACATGTACACCTGTGTGCTTTTTATGCAGACAGATGCATGCACGCGCACAGAGTTTATAACTGATGTACGACAATTGTAATTATTTTACCAACCATAACTCAGCCAATATGGCCAGGCCTAAATGGTGCTCTCTCTCTCTGACACACACACACAGAGATTTAGGAAAAGTTCAGAATGATAGGAACAAAGGAGGATTTAAAGGCATATATAGTCCTTCCCTACCCTTCCCCCTCCCCACCACCCCCCCCCCCCCCCCAAAAAAAAAAAAAACCGCCCAAAACAATTTCCATCTCTGACACTCATGCACCAAGATGTGTAAACTGAAAGGGATTTGGTTTGAGGAAAGAAAATTCAACATATTGGAGGAATTTTTTATTGCTCTTGAATCTCTGATGTCTGGGTTCAGTAATAAATTTTTACTGGAAAACGTTTTGTTTTCTTTCTGAGGTGCGTGCTACCTTTTGACGTTCCTATGAATGTTTGTATCCTGTCCATTAGGTGAGGATAACAGGTGCCAAGTTATTGGCTTCTCTAATGGCAAGTGAGGAAGCTGTTATCGACAATATTTCAGGGGGACTGCTGGAAGCAAGAACATTGCTTCAAACAATATCCACATCAGATCCTTCAACGGAGGTCAGGCAACTGTGCCAGAAATTGCTTGCATGTCTGGCGTCCTAGTAACTTGTTTTTGTTAGTTTTCTTTTTAGTAGGCTTCTGATGAGGCTAAGCATTTTTGTCCTTTTATCCGTGTATATTAGGTAGAGTATGGTCCAACGTTGAAAAACATAAGCTGGATGTATGTTGTTTACACATCATGTACATATCTGATGAATGGCAGTGATATTCTGCAATTTCCTCCATCTCCGCCTGCATTTTATTTCTGTTTGTGCTGCCAATTTTTTTTTTTTTTTGGGGTCACATTTCAGCTAAATCGTGGAGACATGCATAGTATTTGATGACCTGCGAGGTGGAGATGCTCCATAATAAGAAACTTAGAGCTTACCTGGAAGAGATATTATAGAAAACCTGCGTGTTTATAGATGTTCATTTGATGATTCAATAAGAATCATATACCTCTGTTTTTTCATGCCTTGATTTTTAACCAAGCCGTACCATTCAGCCTCTAGCCTTCAGTTAACTTCTTCAGAACTTTTACCTAGAAGAGGTATCAAAAGCCCATGTTTTAGATGGTCATTTCGATTATTTAATTTCTTGTGAAGGAAAATCCCCATCTTTGTTATTGGTAAAGACAGCTTGTCTGCCATGGGGATTCACAAGTCTTTCTTCTCCTTATAGTTGCTTTCGATCTGCATTTGGTGGAGGTATATAGTCAAGATAGATGCATAGATATGGTACTTGGTAGATGCATAGATATGGTTCTTGCATCCTAGGAGATACACGTACACGAAAGATCAACACATGCCCCTGACCTTATAGACACCCCATGTAGTACAATTTAATCAATGTTTCCAAAAATTTTTTTTTTCCGAAACGATAGAAATTTTATAACATCATAAGCTGTACAATTTTGGAGCAAAGGCTCCTATCTTTACAAGAGTGCATTTAGCACTATGGAGTGGCGTAATTCCACTTCATGTCACAAAAATTCAAAAGAGCAATTTTGCTCAAACTGTAGCATGGGCTATCAGTTTCTTCATTCAACCTCACAAAAGAGCACATTCGAAACCACAAGGACATTTGCTGGACATCCTCCATAATAGCAACTATCGCTATATTCCCAGTTTTTCCATTTTGAAATTGTGTCATCATCTTCCTGTTTTCAAACTGTATGTTGATTTTCCTCCATCCTTTCCCTGCTGCCTTGACCATGCATAATCTCACTGCCTCTGCCAGGTCTTGATCTTTGTTCCCTGACTATCTTTCTCTTAGTGACCAAGCTGCTATCCCTTGGTTTGCAGCATTCAAAAGCTGTGATGCCAATGCCAATATTTCCAAATATCTTTGCAAAAATTCAGTGTTCTTATAACTTGATTGTTGGTGAAAATTTTTATATTGTTTTAAATAACTTTTTTTTAGAAAACTAATTAAATAAAAAAAATCAGTTTACAAAATAGTTAAATTGTGGTCATATGCTCTTAGGACCAATCCAGGTCTATGGCGATGTTTACCTACTTGAGAATATTCAGCAGTGAAAGGTCCACCCATAGAACTCGCAAGTGTAGTGTGAAATCATAAAATTCCAGCCCCACTCAGGTTATGTTTCTAAACTAATCATGAAATGGTGATTGTGTTAAATATGTGTTGACCAAAATTTTAAAGTATGCTGCTCTTTGTTAAGAGTTTTGGAATTTGAAAGCGTTGCTTATGAAAGTTAGCATATGCCATCTGATCAAGTTTTGGAGTTGATGCAAGATGTCGGATAATCGGCAAAACTACCGGTGCAACGCCTGTTCTAGAAAATGTAAGAGCTGCTTCTATTGTTGTTATTCTTGTGACTTCAACCTTGATAGATATCTTGTGTGCCTTTTTTCAAGGCAAATTGGAACATTTAAGTCATGAACATCGATTCACTTGTGATACATGTGGAACAAAAGAAGACGAGCAATCCAATATTTATGCTACCTGTCACTACCGGATTCATAGGACTTGTGCTTTGCTACCAAGAATCAACCATCGAAAGCCTGACCAGCATCCTCTTTCTCTTTGCATATTCCTTTCCTATAGAAATTCTGCAATTTCCTCGACCTTTGCCTGTATTTTGTTTGGCTTTGTCCCGTCATTTTATTTGCTTATTTCAGCTAAATCAAGGAGATGTATAATATTATCTCTGATGTTTGCCGGAGAGGTCCAATTTCATCGCACTCCCAAGCTTGAGGACCTGTGGCAGCTATTGATCATATAGTTAGTTAATCCCTATAGCAAATGATCTCAAAAAATAATAATAATAAATAAGTGCATAAAAGATCAAAGATTCCAAAATCTGAGGAGTTGTTCACAAGACAAGACTGGCTCCACCACTGTCCTTTACTTTACTCAGGGCATAACATTTCTCAAATGGTCCAGTCAAGATCAGCAGCACTCCAGCCAGGATAAGCATTTTTGACGTTTTGCCGACATTAAAACGACAAAAGACATGGAGGGGGAGCTGAAACACTTTAGCCATGAAAAGCATCCTCTCATCCTCGCTACTCAGCTCCAGCAGGATGATCAGAAACCTATTCATAGTAGTGTCTGCTACGGCTGTCAAAAACCAATTCTTGAAGAGCCCACATACAAATGCAGCGAATGCAACATCTTCCTCCACAAAACATGTGCCGAGCTGCCAAGGGAGATGTTGCATCATCCCCTGCACCTTGACCATCCACTCAAACTCCTGCCAAATTCACCTTATCCCAAAGACAGAAGCTGCTTGTGCGACGCCTGTAGACAACCATGGAATAGCTTCGTCTATCATTGTTATCGTTGCAATTTCGACCTCGATATCTTGTGTGCTTTTCCTCAAGGCAAATTGGAACATCCTAGCCATGAACATCTACTGACTCTGGTACAAAGAATAGCTTCGTTCGCTTGCGATGCTTGTGGAACAAAAGAGGAGCAGCAATCCTATATTTGTACAGCCTGTACATTCTGGATCCATAGGAGTTGTGCCTTGTTGCCGACTATCAACCATCGAAAGCCTCATCAGCATCCTCTTTCTCTTGCATATTGTTTTCCGATTGAATATCGTAGATATGAAATTCCGTGTGACATCTGCTTCAAGAAAATACCCTTCCAAAATTGGCTGTACTATTGCGGTCCCTGTAGATACTTTGTCCATCTCAAGTGCATGACGAATGACAGGATTCTACCGTAAGTATTCTTTTTTTTTTCTTAGTTATATAACAATCCAGGAGATTCAGTTCAATGATTATAACATTATAGAGAACTAACTTCGTGGTAAGACACTGAATTGATTGATATTCAGTCCATCTATTGATGTAATCACCTTTAAACATCTACTTCTGTAGAAGCAGGCGTGGAATGCATGGACCAAAGGGTAAGGAATGTTAGGACCGGCCAAGAGTAAACAAACCAAAATTAGAACAAAATAGGCGGTATAACCGACCATATAATAATTAGGCGGTAGACACCAATCATATAATAATTAGGCGATAAAACCGACCATATAAAGAGGTTGTGGCAACCCAATAAAGACAAATAATAAAGCAAATAAAAAGCACAGAAGATTTACGTGGTTCGGTCAAATTGACCTATGTCCACGGGCGAGAGGGGAGCAATATTTCTACTATGAAAAAAAAATACAAAAGCCGTAAGAAAGTGATTTCTAGACCAATAAGGCACTTACAAAAGGTTTAGGAAATATTCCTAAACTCAAAATAAGAGAGCCTAAAATAATTGACTATAAATGGGGTAGATGACCTAAGAAACTAATAACCCATATAATGCTCTCTTGAGTGGTGCAAGTTCAAACTTTCATAAGGCTCCCTTATTTATAGGAAACCAAAGGAAGAATTCCTTTGGCTTTTGTTGACCAACGCATCGTTCAACAAATCTCCACCTTGATGAGTCCCCAACATCGAGAGATTATAAACTTGCTCTGGTACCAGTTTGTTAGGACCGGCTCAGGAATAAATAAACTAAAGTTAGAACAAAATAGGCGATATAACCGACCATATAATGATTAGGCGGTAGACACCAGCCATATAATAATTAGGGGGTAAAACTGACTATATAAAGGGGTTGTGGCAACCCAATAAAGATAAATAATAAAGCAAATAAAAGGCACAGAAGATTTACGTGGTTCGGTCAAATTGACCTACATCCACGGAGGAGGGAGGAGCAATATTTCTACTATGAAAAAGAAATACAAAAATCCTAAAAAAGTGGTTTCTAGGCCAATAAAGCACTTACAAAAGGTAAAGCAGATATATGTCCTGCCCTGGTAAAGCACATTGGCAGGCTGTGAAGTGGATTCTCAGATACTTGCGAGGTACTTCAAATGCATGTTTGCAAGGTACTTCAGATATATGCATGTTTGGTTTTGTAGACTCAGACTACGTTGGGGATCTTAACAGGAGAAGATCACTTTCTGGCTATGTATTTTTTTGCATTGGCGGTTGTGCTGTTAGTTGAAAAGTTACTCTACAACCTGTCGTAGCTTTGTCTACTACAGAAGCAGAATATATGGCTGTGACCGAGGCAATCAAAGAAGCCTTGTGGCTGAAGAGTTTATTTAGCGAACTTAGTCTACATTAAGGTGTTACTGTTATTCACTGTGATAGTCAAAGTGCTATACACTTGATTAAAGTTCAGATGTATCGTGAGAGGACAAAGCATATTGAGGTGAAGAATCACTTCATTCGGGATATCATTATTGAGGGAAAAGTCCTTATTCAGAAAATCAATACTAAGGACAATCCAACCGATATGTTTACAAAACATCTTCCACTTTACAAGTTCAAGCAGTGCTTGGACTTGGTTGGTATTCGTTGTTGGTGATTTAGTCCCATTGGGATTTATATGGAGAAGGTGGAGCAAGTTTATAATCTCTCGATGTTGGGGATTCATCAAGGTGGAGATTTGTTAAACGCTATGTTTTCAGAACCGGACCGGATAGCGACTCGGCTGAGGTCAGGGGTCAGGGGTCAATGGGTTCGACCAGGTGTCGATAGGGGTCGAACCGGACGACGTCATAAATAAAAATTATTTAAAAATTAAAATATTATATATATAATATCTAATAATATATTGATATTAATAAAGGTGTATTCATATATATTTGATGTTTCAAATATATTTAACAAGAAAATACAAAGAAATTAGAACAATCAAGTAGCAATTTATATTATTTAATAAATATTAACAAGTTTAGAATTTAATTATGAATTTAATTAAAAAATAACATCAAATTTTAGGACAATATTTATAAAGTATCAAATATTTGAGGTATATCAATAAGTTTTAACAATTTAGGGGGTCAAAACATAATATTAAAAAGTTTGAATTTTTTTTAAAAAAAATTACTGTTGAACCGGAAAAATCGATTTTTGCCCGGTCAAACCAGGTTTTGATCGGCTTTGACCGGGTTTTTAAATTTTCGATTTTTTAATATGACTCGGACCGGCTACCTGGCCGGTTCCCCGTTCGACCGGCCGGTCCGATCCGAGTTTCAAAACAGAGGTTAAACACCACGTTGGTCAACAAACGCGTTTTTTGCTTCGTCCCACATCGGTAGAAGCCAAAGAAATTCTTCTTTTGGTTTCTTATAAATATAGGAGCCTTATGAAGGTTTTAACTTGTACCACTCAAGAGAGCATTATATAGGTTATTAGTTTCTTGGGTCATCTAACCCATTTATAGTCAAATATTTTAGATTCTCTTATTTTGAATTTAAGAATATTTCATAAACCTTTTGTAAGTGCCTTATTGGCCTAGGAACCACTTTCCTACGGCTTTTGTATTTTTTCTTCATAGTAGAAGTATTGCTCCTCTCTCGCCCGTGGACGTAGGTCAATTTGACCGAACCACGTAAATCTTCAGTGTCTTTTATTTGCTTTATTATTTGTCTTTATTGGGTTGCCACAACCCCTTTATTTGGTCGGTTTTTCCGCCTAATTATTATATGACTGGTGTCTACCGCCTAATCATTATATGGTCAGTTATACCGACTATTTTGTTCTAATTTTAGTTTGTTTATTCCTGAATCGGTCCTAACAAACTGAAGAAGAAATACAAAAGTTGTAGAAAAGTGGTTCTTAGGCCAATAAGGCACTTACAAAAGGTTTAGGAAATATTCCTAAACTCAAAACAAGAGAGTCTAAAATATTTGACTATAAATGGGTTAGATGACTCAAAAAACTAATAGGCCATATAATACTCTCTTGAGTGGTGCAAGTTAAAACCTTCATAAGGCTCCCTTATTTATAGGAAATCAAAGGAAGAATTCCTTTGGCTTCTACCGATGTGGGACGAAGCAAAAAACGCGTTTGTTGACCAACGCGTCGTTCAACAAGGAAGATGAGGAGGATTTGGTCCAATTACCTACCAACGATTTTGTCCAAGAAATTAGACATATTTTGGAGAAAAAACAGGGCCTGGAGATTGTGCGAGTTCCCAAGAAAGTGCAGGTCAGTTGTTGCCAACATACTTTGGCTATTGTGGACATCCAGAAACTTATCAAATCAAGAAATGTTGAACGCATAACATGCAACAGATGCATTGAACCTGTTGTTTCTTTGTGCTGCCAATGTACTCGATGCAATTATTTTGTCCACTTAACCTGTGCTCAATTACCAGAGGAACTGCAACACCCAAGTCATGAGAAGCATAAACTTAAGCTGGCTTTTGTTTCATATGTATGGGGGATGATCAAGCGTAGCGCTTGCAATCTGGACTGTAATGGCTACTTATTCAAGTGTGACACATGTAGGTTGTATACTTTTGATGTCAAGTGTGCTTTATTACCCTCCACAATCGATCACAAAGCCCACGAGCATTCCCTTGTTCAAACGTATAGGGGCGATGGCAACAAATGCAACTCCTGTGGAAATGTTGTTCGTAGTTTTCTTTATGCCTGTGAGCCTTGTGGTTTCTATTTGAACTATGAATGTGCTTTGCTACCAGAGAGTGTCAATCACAGGTGGGATAAACACACTCTTCCCCTAAGCTTTCCTCCTTTCAGTGACCGCCCTGATGAATTCTATTGTGAGATTTGCGAAGAAGAAATTCATCCCAGACGTTGGCACTATCATTGTCGCGAGTGTGATCAATCTTTTCACCCTCGTTGTATCCCCGGACTTGGTGTGACACGAAATTGCAATTTTGGGCGCATTCTTGAATTTGGAAGACATCCGCACCCTCTCAAGTTAGTTCGTGAAGGTGAATATCGTTCCACCTGCGACTCTTGCCATGAACGGATGTATGGCAACAGGGTGTTTAAATGTGAAACTTGCCAGTTCTATATATGCATTAAATGTGTAGCAAGAGTAGCTGATTCTGGCAAAGTCGTTGGTCCTGCTAAGATTTCTGAGTGGTGTGTTTAATTTAATGTACCCTATTTGGGAAAAGGCAAAAGCAGATATCCTTGTTCAAAAAAGTTGTATTGGTGTCACTCTTCAAATTGCAAAGTATATTGGGAATAAAAAAAGGTTGTTCTGTCTTCTACATTTGTTTTTTTTTCTCAAAGAGGTGGATGGTAGGGATCACTTCTCTTATAACTTGTCCTGCAACATATATCTATCGACTCAAAGTAGGCAGGTAGGATAATATTGCTAGGAAGAAAAGGGCAATAGAGGAAGAAAAGTTGACACTACAAACGGCTAAGAAATATGTTAGGAGTTAGGACAGGACAACTTAGGATGCTGAGGATCCCTACTTTGAGCCAAAGCGAAAGGAAACTGTTATAGCAGAGACGATAACATCAGCGGAAAGGAAAAGATTCCAAACGTGTAATAGATTAATTTTGGATTCACCTTTTTCTATGTACTATTAAGAAGTTCTTGGAATTGATCCAAAGTAGAAACACAACCTTTCGTCAAGCCATCCTCATAGTAATTTTTCCCATCTTAGCTTTGGTTTCGACATAGCATATCACAGAAATGGAAGAGCTGAAACATTTCAGCCATGAGCATCTGCTAATTCTAGTGAAAGGGTAAAGAGATGAGATTGTTCGAAAATCAATTTGCTATGGCTGCCAAACGCCAATCCTTGCAGAGCCCACATATTCTTGTGGAAAGTGTAGCTTCTTCCTTCACAAAAGATGTGCTGAACTTCCAGAGGACATTTCTCATGCCATGCACCCTCAGCACCGCCTCATCCTTCATGACAAACCGCCTTACAGTGGAGGCAGCTGCTTCTGTAATGGCCGCCAACAAATGTGGAGCATCACTGTAACCCTTGTGTATTTGCCCTCGACATCATATGTGTTACCATTGAAGACCGTAAATTGAAGCATCCAAGCCATGTACACGCTTTGACCTTCAAAAACCAGCGGGCCACGTTTCGGTGCCATGCCTGTGGGAATATAAAGGAAGATATGTCGTATTCATGTACTAGTTGTCCGTATTGGATCCATGAGAGCTGTGCCTCTTCACCTGCCACCAAGAAACACGAGGATCATGATCATCCTCTTTCTCTTGCCTATTGCCTTTCAGATGATCATATTGGCTATGGATTTTCCTGTGATATCTGCAACAGAAACATTATGGCAGATCATTGGAATTACTACTGTGGCCCCTGCAGACACTTTGTACATCTTCAGTGCATCAAGACACAGAAGAAAGGATTAAAGTATGTATCTCTTTCTCTAGCTACACACACGTACGTATTCATTTTTCCTTGAGTACACACTGCATATATGTTCAAGGTAACCAGTACATGATAACAATTGAACACTTTTTTTTTTTTTTCCTTTTGGGACATAATGATAGACACATATTCCTATTTTGTGTGGGGTAAGTTTGGGCCATGGGGTAAAGAATATATCGAACCTAGTCTTCGAAACATTTGACATTAATTTTAAGCGGCTTTAATTATAAGCGCCAATGGGCTAAGTCCTTAGTCTGTGGCAACGAAAAGATATAGACCTGTTGCTGGAATTATTGCGGTGGCCCATATAGACATTTTGTGTATCTTAGGTCCATTGAAACAGAAAGGAAGAACTACGGAACGTACCTGCTCTGCCACTCAGTTAATTTTTACTTTTTAATCACTCGCTTATCTCACAAAAGAGGTACACTAGTAGCCAATTGTGTCAAATTTTGCCATTAAACTACTTCCTATTTTCTTGTTGGTTTCTGAGTTATTGTGTCAATTTATGAAAATTTCATTATGCAATTTATTCATAGACGAAAGAGAACGAGGCAGAGGACAAAAACTAGGGAATAGATTATCATATTACTTTAAGGCTATTGGAATTAGAATTGGAATTTGGTGGTAAACAAAAAAAGTGAAATAATTTTAAAATAATAAAAGTATTTAATTCTTTTGTATTTGTATTTTTTTAAAAAAGAATTGAGCTCTTTCTCTTTCTCTATCTCTCCTCCTCCCCCTCTCCATCTTTCTATTTTTTTTTCAATATTAATAAGATTGCCAATAAGAAAGAAATTAACACTTTGACCTTTTTTCGTGATACTAAAAAAAAGAAGAATCACTCTGAATTTTTTTATTATTTTTATTATACAAAGAGGAGGGCACTTTGTTCTAAAGTTTTTTAACTTGCTAAGTTAGTTTAATGGTAGGATAAATTACCTTAAAAATAATTCTATGAGGTAAATTGATAATGAGGTTATAGTTTGTGGGGGTAAAGTGATAATAATTTTAAGAGTTAAACATGTCTTTTTATTTCAATTAACAAGTTCCGTTAAGTTTGATCGTTAGTCTTGGGAGTAAAGTGACTAAAAGATAATATTAAGGAGAAAATTAATAGTGACACTAAACGTTAAAGGGATAAAGTAATATTAACCCTGAGTTTCCACCTCTTTCAAACCAACCAGCAGATACTAAATACTAAATAGGATGTAAACATATTGGGCCTCACTGGATGATGGTTATCCCACCATCAATTATAATCCCTTTAATCTGATGCACCATTCCTTACTTTGTCTTTTGTTTTCTTGTTTCTCCATTTCTTTTTCCAAAACTTGTTACTCCTAGTTTTTTTCTTTTCATTCCTTTCCTTTTCTTTCCTTTTGCTTTATTCTGTCAACAAAATGAAAAGACGTTTCTCATTTATTCTTTTTCTTTTGTTACTTCTTTTTTTGTACTGTTGAATCCTCTCTCTCTCAATTCACTTTCCTTTTTCGCTATGTTCTTTTGTTTTTCCCTTTGTTGAACTCAGATATGTCATTCGTTTTTGTTTGAGAGATGAAATTGGCATTGGATTATTAAGAGATTTAGGAAAAGTCAAAAACAGAAAACCAAAAAAAAAGTAAGCAGAAAGCTAAAAAAAAAAAAGAAGAAAGAAATAGAAAATAAAAACCACAATTCTAATTAATTTTCCTGGTTTTTACTAAGTTGGATTGGTTTTGGATTAATCTTCTATACATTGACAGTGTACACACTATCAACTTTGAATGAATGACAATTATAAAAAAAGTTAAATTTAAAATTCAACTTTTGCACGTATACCATGGATTCAATGGTAATAGTGTATATACGGTATATAAGATTTATTCTAGGTTTTTAGGTAAACTAAGACCTTTGTACTTTTGGGTTCTCGGTTGGATAGGTAAAATCAACAAATTCAGTCCGAATTTCAAAAAAAAAAAAAATTGCACATTGCACGCAAGTAAAAATTAATATTTGACTTTTAGCATGGCCAAGCATTACAGTGATGCATCTCTAGGGAAATGAATAACCAAAAAAAGAAACCATTTTACACAGTCTTGGTCGACTGGGTATAGTTGTGGTTTGTTACAAATATATTCAGTTGTTGTAGTCCTTACAAAATTTATTACACAAAAAAGAAAAAAAGATACAATAAATGTGCACTAGATCATATGAAAGGTATGATAATTGCGTACAATTTACACGCGAAATGTACAGCTGCACTTGATCCATTACCATTTCAAAGGATGATGTTAATGCCAGAATCCATTTTCAACATAAGTTTACTGTATCAATATGGGAAGCTTATCCATGACCATATATGCTTTTCAAAAGAAAACTAGCATTCTGTTTTGTGTGATGCCAAATCTTTTCCAGAAGAATTGGCAGCTACCTTGCTTTTTTATTTGGGTTAATTCCACTTTGTCCCCCCAAACTTTGAACGATTACCCACTTAAGTCCCTAAACTTCAAAATGGGACACTTAAGTCCCTAAACTTATAAATACCTCCCACTTAAGGAAAATTGTTAACAAATCCTGAATGCCGTCGGTGGTCGAAGTGTCCCATTTTATAAGGGTTTAGGGATGAAAGTGTCCCATTTTATAAGTTCAGGGACTTAAGTGGGAGGTATTTATAAGTTTAGGGACTTAAGTGTCCCATTTTGAAATTTAGGGACTTAAGTGGATAATCGTCCAAAGTTTGGGGGGACAAAGTGGAATTAACCCTTTTTATTTAGCAAGCTAAATAGCTAACCTTCTCTTCTTCTTCTTTTTTTTTTTTCTTTCTTTTATAGTTCAGGATGTTCCCAAATGAAGTGGAGTAGAATATATATAGAAATCTAAATATTATCTCACACTTTGAAAACCAATGAAGAAAGAGAAAGGCTCGAAAGATTCTCAACAAGTTTAGGGGTATGAACCGGATTGCAAAATGAAAAAAAAATAACGTGTAGTAGTATTAAATTTGGCTTCACCTCTTCTTATGGAATTGATGCAAAGTAGAAACCCAAATTAAAAACAAAACATAAATGATTGAGGCCAGTGTAAATCAATGCCCTCCTGTCACCCTATAAACAAACCATTCAAAAATTATAATAGCTTTCCAAATAATACAAAGAGAAACTTGATTACGCAAAGTAGTAACCCAAACTTAATTTCATCAAGGCATTTTCACATAGTTGATCGATCATAGAAATGGAAGAGCTGAAACATTTCAGCCATGAGCAGCACCTGCTGAAGATCCTAGAGAAAGCGGAAAGGGATGAGACTGTTCAGAAATCAATCTGCTATGGCTGCGGAGCACCCGTACTTTCAGAGCCCACATATTCCTGTAAAGAGTGCAGCATCTTTCTTCACAGAAGATGTGTTGAACTTCCAAAGGACATTTCTCATGCCATGCACCCTCAACACCGCCTCACCCTTCTTGAGAAGCCTCCAAATAAAGAAGGGATCTGCGACTGTAAAGGCTGTGGGCAATCATGGAGACACTTCACCTATCACTGTAACACTTGTAATTTTAACCTCGACGTCTCGTGTGCTACTGAGGACCGAAAATTGAAGCATCCAGCTCATGCACACACTCTAAAATTCGTGCCAAAGCCAGTCATATTTGAGTGCCATGCTTGTTGGGAAAGAAAGAAAGATGCATCATACTTGTGTACTAGTTCTCGTTGTCCATATTGGATCCACGAGAGATGTGCTTCATCACCTACCGTCAAGAAACGCAAAGATCACGATCACCCTCTTTCCCTTGCCTATTATCTTTCGGATGATTACATTGCCTATGAGTTCTCTTGTGATGTCTGCGACAAAATGATAGAGCCGAATGATTGGAATTACTACTGCGGCCCATGTAGACACTTTGTGCATCTTACGTGCATCGAAACACGGGACCAACGACGGCGCACAGTGCTTGAGTACGTATCCATTATTCTTACCCTTTTTTTTTTCATATATCGCACTAGTTTAATTTATTCTGTTGTTGGACTTGGGCATTAGCGCTATTTGTTTTTCAAATCCAATTTAAAGAATAATTTCACCATGCTTTGATGTAGATCATTTCCACCTTAGTCTGCAATAATTAGTTCTTTGAACTTAATTATCATGTTTGAATCTTACGTGCTTGCTAATTCTGATGCCTCGGCCTATATATTGTTTAGAAGGTGGCTTCGACGAAACACCATAATGCTGCCCAGGGACGATTACTTTAAAAAAGTTGGAAGGGTACGGAAATGGGAGGGGCCGCTGGGACCTCGGAGAAGATTCATCATGTGAGCAATCTGTGGGCATCCCGTGGTTCGTCTTGATGTGCCCGAGCACGCTACCACAAGAAGCAAAGAAATCACATGCGAAGCTTGCACTGAACCGATCATTTCTACATGCTATAAGCGGGTAACCTCCGATCACTTTCTTCACGACATTTGTGTCATACAGCAGACTGCTTTGTATCACCCACCCAATCCATCTTGTAATGTTCCGAGTGGCAAACCAAAAGTTGAATTGACATCACCTGCAAGCACTTATGGCTTTTTCAAGTGTGATGCCTGCAATTTGGATTCCAATGGTTACTCGTTCAATTGCAAGGGATGTAGCCTCCGCCCAGATGTCAAGTGTGGAAACTTACCAAAAAAGGTTTATCATGGATCTCACCGCCGGCACAGGCTCATCAGTGCCAGAGAATATCCAGTCCCGAACCAAAAAAGGTGCAAGGGTTGTGGTGATTTCGTTACTTGCCTATATTTTAAGTGTAATCGTGATTATTGCAGCTTCGTTCTAGGATATGATTGAGCTCTCCTACCCAAAAGAGTGAAGCATAGGTGGGATAAGCACCCCCTCGTTCTAAGCTTTCCTCCTTTCTTTAAACAAGCTGATAAATTCTATTGTGGGGTTTGTGAAGAAGAAATCCATCCCCGGCATTGGCAGTATCGTTGTAGTGAATGTGATCAATCTTTTCATCCTCGTTGTATCCCACAAGCCAGTTCATCCCGGAACATCAAGTTTGGGATCACTACAGATGTCGGTGCACATCCGCATACTCTGAAGTTAGTTCTGGAAGGCGAATATCGTTCCGCTTGCTTCTCCTGTAAAGCATCATTGTACGGACGCCGGGCATTCAAGTGCACTGCAACTTGCAAGTTCTACCTCTGCCATGATTGTGTTGCTGAGAGATCTGCTGATACTAGTACTCATTAAAATTTCTGTCTATGGATCTGCACTCTTGATTACTAGTATGACGTACATATCCGTCTCTCAAACATGTATACATATGTGTCTCCAGAATCAAGTCTGGCTACCTGATAAATGTCCTGTAATTAAGATGTGTACTAATGTTCAAGGCAAGTGTGACCTCGTTACATGATCCTCCAGGGATGCATCTAATATAGAAAATCAGAGTTATTTTGGAGGCAAACAGTCGCTAATTTGACATGTAGCAACCCAGGGCCGATTCCAGCACCGACAAGCTTCTAATGGCGACTCCTCCTCGGGGGTGTTCGTGGGTCTGGTATCTGACTCGTGAACCAAAATGCTGGCCACATTAGTAACATCGAATCAGTCATTTTGTGATCCGAATTCGGATCCACCAATGTGGATATCTGGATATTCGGGTATCCGTATTATGCGGATTGAATCAATCGAATATCCAATCCGTATCAGATTTTTAAAATTTCTTTTTAAAAAAAAGTTATAAATTTCAAAGATAAAAAGTTACATATGAGTTTTTAGTCAAAATTAATCCTTTTTTCTATTGCAATGTAACGTAACTTCCATATATTTTTTCTTATTTTGATTCAAACAAATAACAATCAATATTTCATCTACAATTTTTTTTTATCCACAATTTATATGACGATATGTTTAAAAACTTAATACCATATGGAAAAGAAAGCCTATTTTGAAAAAGAACATAAATATAAAAATAAGAAACAAAACATAAAACTATTATAAATTAGTGAATTTAATGTATTAAAAATTCTTTTAAAAAATACTATGCAGATTGGATAGAATCCGATCAGCCTAACTTCTTGATTCGGATGTGATCCGATCTACTTATGATTCGACAGACCAAATATCCACTAATTCATATCGAATCACCAGATTTTTCGAATTGCTGGATCAAGATGCATACCCTTCCGTCCTGTCTTCCTATAAGAGCCTTGGGTCTGATGGCGGGCCGGTTCTTTTTCTACATCCGGCTTGGGCTAATTTTCGCTTGTTTTCGTATTTTCTCTGTTATTTCTCTCCTTTTTCTTTTTTTTTTTTTTTCTAATTGCTTTGCTCCTATGAATAGAATTCTCAAGAAAATATAATCTAGCAAACTAAAGAAAATATATTAACTAAATAAATGGTGAACAACTCACAGAGACAGTTGTTAATACGCTTACAAAATCTCCTCAAACTAAAAAAAAAAAAAAAAAAGGTATTGCAGATCGATATTGTCATGTTTGGGACAAAAGTCCTAGCGGTTGGATTGAGAATATATCCTAAAGACGAAATTAACTTGGACAGTCCAACTGTATCACAATATGTCATCCTTAAAGCCCAGTCCCTATTATTTATTAATTTTTCTAGTCATGGAGACGGTTTGGGCATGGTTGCAAACGAGTCGAATCGAGTCAAGTTTTGGCCTAATCGAGCCGAATCTCGACATAATTTCATTGAACTCGAACTCAAACTTGAGCTCGAAAAAAATAAAAAAAAATAATTATTTTATTTTTAAAAAATAAATAAAATAATATTTTTTTTCTTAATAAATAATAAAATATTAATGATATATATGTAATTTTACTATTAAAATTTAAAAAATCTAAAATATATATATACTTAAAATAAAAAAATAAAAAAATATATACTTAAAATAAAAAAATAAAAAAATATATACTTAAAATAAAAAAATAAAATATATATATACTTGAGCAAGTAGGTACACCAAATAAAGAAAATAAAGAAAGGGGTTCGTTCTAGAAAATCCCCCTTATATACTTAAAATAAAAAAATAAAAAAATATATATATACTTAAAATAAAAAAATAAAATATATATATACTTGAGCTCGCGAGTCTAATGAGCTTAATATTTTGAGCTCGATTTCGACTCGAGCCAGCTCGAACTCAACTCGAGCTCAATATTGATCGAACTCGAGTCGAGCTAGCGGCTCGATTCGTTTGCAACCCTAGGCGCAAGAACACTTCCTTTATCTTTTTTTTCTTTTTTCGATTTTGTTTGTGTTATTAATCAGTGGTAAACAAAATATAACTCATGACATGCATATTCTAATTATTGTATTTGATGAAGAAATGCAAGATATGAAAATGCAATGCAAAAAAATAAATAAATAAATAAAAATTGCCCAAGTCACTGTCAGGATAGTCTTATTCCCTTCCATCTTCTTATTAGTTGTTAGGGGCTATGCATTTGTTAAACGATGACCGTCCTATTTAATGGTCCCATTTTGTAATAAATTATCGCTTATCAAAACAATTTATGGACCCAAACATTAAAGAACTTCAAAAATGACTTGTACATTAATGTTTATTTTCAACCTCTTGAAAACACGTATAGCTGATTAGAGAAACTGCAATATTTTACAGGCTTCGACATGATAGTAAAAAAAAAAAAAAGAAAAAGAAAAAATGACTATTTGATTGTTTGGTGAAAAAATAAAAGGAAAGGTCAGATCATTACAGTATATTTTAGATTGTGGTTTTTCGCAAAAAAAATTTTACAATTTCAATGAACACATTTCTCAATCATAGTTTTACCTTTACATACATCAAATTGCTATATTACATTTTTTTACAAAAACTCCTAAAAATAACAATTCAAATGGAATTTTTGACATAAAAAGTCATCGTCTTTAGAAAACTTTATGTTGTTCGATCAAATCTATACACATATATAAGAAGCAGTTGGAGTTTACTCTTTGGCGCAGTTTTCGCCTTGCACTTTCATCTGCTTTGTTTGTGAGGAAAATTTGAGAAAAAAAGGGATAAGTTTCATTTGCTTCGTTATGCGCATGGAAGCATCATTTGTTTCTCTGCTCTAGGAAATTCATGTGGACAGACAGTGATATCATGGAGCAATGGTTTACTGTCAGAAGCCATTAGCATTCTTCTTCATAAGCCAACCATCATTTGTTTCTCTGCTCTAGGAAATTCCCGTGGACATACGGTGCTATCATGTAGCAATGGCTTACTGTCATGAGCCATTAATATTCTTCTCCATAAACCATTACTATTCTTCTTTTATCGGATTACAGTCAGATGGTTGGAGTGTGTGCAATCAAAGGTTCATTAGCTTTGTTGGTGAGGAAAAATTTAAAATGGAGGCACCTGTCTGTTGCCATGCAGAGGGAAGCACCGTTTGTTCCTTTGTTCCAGAAAATTCATTATCTCATATAGATAGATGGTGGTTTTGTGTCATAACCCATTAACATACTGATATCTTTGAAATTGCATTTGTGTCGCTGCATTCTTTTTGTGCGTTCCAAGTGGACTTTTAGTTTTCTGCCGTCTGTCTTTTCTTTGTGTTAAAGAAGGTAATGACTCTATTTCTCTTCGAGTATATAATGATTCTATTCTTGTTGCATGTTCTGTTCATCACATTCCATTTTCTTCTTTGCAGCTTTTAAACAATTTCCACCTCTTAAACAACTTCCTCTTTCTTTCTTTTGTCGACTTCTAGCTTCGTTTGCTAAGTTTCTCCTTTCCTGCTTCTTATATCTGCAACTCCATCAGCTGGTTGTTATCCGTGCAAGTTTGCTCACCAGTTATAGGTTCGGTTTTATATGCATGCTTATTTTCGTCATTCTTCTGTTTATTGAATGTCTTATTGGTTTTGAATGGCTAGATGTTGCATTTTCCTTTATTGCCTATATGACTCTTGTTGTCTTATACATTCGTGTATCTTTATACATCACATTTTACTACCGAATAACACTATATGCACTGCAGCTATGAACCTGTCTACAAAATTTGGATCTAACATTCTTATAAATCCACCGATCCAGCAAGCTTCTGAAATCAGAACATGGTAAACACTACTCTCATACTATAAAACTCTTCCCAACTATTCACTGCTTATTTACATTTACATTGACAACTTTTACTTCAACAAAAACACACCATGCAGGGCAACAAAAAATGAATACCAAATTCGACATCTAATGGCTGATAAAGCGTACAACGATCGAGCAAGATTGCTACCATTACCAGATGCAGAAGAAATGACTACAATAAGAGACTACCTTCAGTTCCCTTTGGTAAATTTCACTTAGAGAACTTCTTCCCATAAACCACACAAATCAATTGTTCTATACAAAAAAAAATGAACAACCATATACATGTATGTCACAGCAAAAAGCTTATTGGGTACAAGGAACTCCAAAACTACTTGACAGAAGTAAAAAATTCTGGTATAATGCTTGCCCCAGATGCTTCAAATCTGTACGTTCTATTCCAGAGTGGCCAATTGTCTGTGTATCTTGCAACACAAACGTCCGAGTCAGTCCAAGGTATGATGCAAAACTCCACTCTAAAAAACATTTACAAATTGCTATATACTGAAAAAATTTATTCCTCAACACTCTTCACTTCAAAATAGATGTCGATTAACTGTGCAACTGGAAGATTACACCGGAAACATGACTTTGGATCTCTATGGAAATGATGCTTCCCAATTGCTTCCTTTTACAATACAAGAGATTCAGCAACAAGAGCAGCAGGTAACCATACATTAACTGAATACATTCTAACTTGCTATTATTACACAAACACCTACATATAACGTACGCTCATAACAACCTATGACTATGTTTTCCTTGTAGAACGCACTTAATTATCAAGCAATAGAAGAGAATGTGAGCAGCAATATAATAATTTGCTTCATCAAGAAGATTGCTTCAAACTATGCCACTCCTTCAAACTATGCTCCACTAACCAATACCAAATACTCAGCCATTATGGTACACAAACTTCCCAACATGACCAACACTTCAGAGAGCAGCTCCAGCGGCCTTAGTGGAGAAAAAAACACAACAAAAATGCTCATCGACTCTCCACCACACCCAGAAACAACCGAAGTTGCACATACACCAGAATCTTCAACAAATGTAGACAGCAATCTCCTGACCGAAACTCAAACTGACAAAGAGCCCCATCAAAAAACAACGAACCGACAGCTACAACAATTAGGCTTTCAACCCTTTAACAGTTTTGAAAGTGCAAAAAGCTCTAAGAAGCTTTAACTATAAATATGTCTAAATATGCCTGCATGATCCTGTAAACTGGATATAGACAATGATCCACATAAATCTATCCTTTTGAAAAGACCTGAAAAATTATCTATATCACAGACGCAGTCCAGCGATCTTTTGCAAAATATGCATTTCACTTAACTCCTCAACGCAATAATATAAAAAAAAATTCCCATGACGCCCGCGCATCGCGCGGGGACCTCACATAGTATACTATTATAACATATACTACAAACTACTCATGACCAAATGGATAGTATAAGATATACTACAATGCTTTCAAAAACAAAAGATCTATTACTAAAATAACTTAAAATCACACACCCTCATTTACTTTTACTAGTATTTAAGCCAAAAATATCTTATTGGAATCAAGTTAGGATTTTAATAATTTTATTGGAGTTAAGTTATGGTAGTTTTATTATTTAATAATAATATTTTATTATAAAATTTCTTATTATTGTAAGATTTGTTTACCAAGTCACGTGACTTATAAATATAGAGTTTTATTATTGTATCAGTTGATAAGAGTAAAATTTGAGAGTCTTGTTTTTAGTGTGTAATTAATATATTATTATTGATATTTATTTCTCTTTCTCCAACACACACTAGTATGTGTGTAATTTGCCTTCCTATTTACATTGATTTTATGAAATTTATCTCATATAAACTTTTGGTGGAATATTTTGGGTTCTACATGGCTATGTGGGGCACGAATGATTCAAGAAAGAAATATTAGTAATATCCTTATGTGTTTATTCAGAAATGTTATTGAATTCTAACGTTTAATTACCAATGCCAGTTTTGAAAAACTCTCGTGCATCAATTTACTATTTTAATGTGATCATTTTTACTACCAAATACTGCAAGCCATACAAAAATAATAATAATAACAGATATTCTTTAGGATAATAATTAAACATGTTCAATAATTATAGACCTAGAAATGAGCAAAGTTATGCCTTTATATTTATTTGAACACAAAAGATGTAGCAATCTATTTTTTCATGAATGAAAACTCAATTTTTATAAAAGTTACTCTATATGGCAAAAAAAGCTCTATATGGATAGAAAAATAATTCATACGAAAATTTGATTTTTGGGAAAGAAAAAGATGACACCATAATCCCTATATCAACAATTTTGTTCCATAGTTTTTTAGTTCAAGGACAAACCAAAACTACTAAAGACAAGTCCTCCTAAATTTGTGGCCAATTGTCAACAACGAAATTATGAAAGTTAGAGATTTTATGCGTTAAAATATTACATACTATTGATTCGTTTGGCACCCCTGTTTTTTTAATAGACAAAATTTTTTTCCCCAACTTTAACTATAGGAACTTACTAAAAAAACCCTAAGTTTTTTTTTTTTTTTTTTAAATCCCAAATTATTCAAAAATACATACCCATTTTCCTATTCTATCGCCACCCTTCTTAACTATTTCACTTTTACCATTGCTGCCCCTACCTTACTTCACCACTGCTGTTGCCGTCTGCACTAACCGTCTCCACCTCCGCTTCCATCACTCTAGCCCCACCACCACCCCCTACCCCTATGAATTAGAACCCCTTAGTAGAAAAAATTTACCATGTAGCAGAGAAAAATTAATACTAAACTCACTTCTTATGACGCGCCTTTAGGTATCAAATAAACACACATATTTGTCCCACTCTCTGTCCCATTTTTTATTATATTGCTATTTCTCCTTCATAAACATCATATTTTAATTCTTTTTTGTTTCCTTAAAATCCAATAACTATTAATTGAGTAATACACAAAATTTAACAAACTCAAAAAATCAAAATGCATAAAAAATGAGATTTTTTATGAATTTTCTGCTGTATTTTTTAATTTTCTATTATATATTGCTTTTTTGAAGCTGTTGTATTTATTTTTTACTTAATTAATAGTTATTGGATTTTAAGGAAATAAAAAAGAATTAAAATATGATATTTATATATAAAAAATAACAATATAATAAAAAAATGAGACAGAGATTGGCATAGAGTGTGGGACAGAAGATCATTTGCGATGTAAAAGTGCACACTCAAATTCAGTAAAACCTACTATCATTGCAAAAGACAATTACTAAACTACGTATCAAGTAATCATTACTTGAGAAGGAGTTAAAATGCATCATTACTTGAGAAGGAGTAATCATTACTACGTAACAAGTAATATGTTTTTTCATACTTGCACAGCTCGAGAAGGAGTTAAGATGAAATGCTTATAATAATACTAAACTACGTATCAAATATTAATCATTACAACTTCTAATTTTTATCAATCAAAAAGCCCAAAAAAAAAACTATGTATAATTCATAATTGCCAATAAAAATATATCATCAAAAGGCGAACTAATGCTAATTGACATACTATCTTGAGGGTGGTTCGTGCAATTATCCGGAAACTACAAGAACAAAGTAGTTGTTTGACAAGAAGATTCGTCATCTTTTCTTACTCTTTATTCATTTCCAAAACTTTTCTAGCTTCAACACTGGATTTCCTCACGAAGACCCGTTTTCTCACCTACTAAAAAATTGCCTCTTTGTTACTTTAAAGTGAATCCACCCCCGCTGGTTTTTTATTCGAAATTTCTGAGTTCTCTCCCTCGCAATATTTTAGACAGGTCAAATCTCCTCAAACCCCACCCACCCGACATTAAAACCCAACTGACTAATAAAAACCTTAAACTACCATTCCAAGGTCAAGTCTCCTGATCAACTGAAAAAGTCTCACACGCCTCATCTCCAACATTTTTCTACCCCCATTCTTTCCCTCCCCAAACCCAAAACCCTCCACTATAAAAAAATCCGTCGAGATTCACAAATTCATCCATCCAGTTCTTCAGCGCTGCTACTGCAATTTGCATCTTCATCGTCTGTTATTTTTGTTCCAGTGAAACAAAAGAAATGATTGAGCTGTTTTTCGCGGTGGCTTTCTCGGCGATGCCGTTGACACTCTACGTCCCGCCGATCCGAAGCTTAAACTTGTTCGTCGAGTCGTTGGTGAACCTGCTCCGGCAAACCACGGCCTATACTCATCGGGTCTTCCCTCGTCTCCGGACTGCCGTCTCCAGATTGCTCTCTAACTATTCCACCTCTCGCCGGATGTAGATTGTAAAAAAGGTTCAGTTTTTCCTTTTCGAGATTCAACACATCCAAACCGGCCCTTTATTTTCTTTGTTAAGAGTAATTTAATCGCAGGATGAGTGGGATTTTGGATTGAATACCGATACTGGCAAAAGCAGATCAATAATCACCTCCTTTTTTTTTTTTTTTTCCTTCTGGAGACTGGAGATTGTATGAGCAGATATAATATCATTTTGTACCTTTTTTTCACTGTGAATTTGAGGTGAAATGTACATGATCGAAGAAAAAGGAAATGCACTTTGTATGATTTCCTTTTTATTATTTTTGGTAAATCCGATGATGGGTTGACTTCATCTCTTTTTTTTTTTTTATTCTTTTTGGAGATTTTCTGCCAATATTGGAGTAAATGACCATTTTGTGGATATAATTTTTTCTTATTTTTTTTTATGTAGATTGATGAGTTAAATCGGCTTCAATCAGTTAGTAACCAAACAGAAAACAGAATAAACAAAGAACTAAAGTTAAAGAATTTTAAGATATTTGATGTTGAATTACCACTATCTGCCATCAGTATTCTTGTGATTGAATTTGAGATGGTATTGATGTTTTGGTTTCTTGTTTACAATGAGAAACCATCAAAAATTGTTTCTATTTGCATCCTAGGGACATCCCATTAGTACTAATTTGAAGCTACAATTTGGCTGTAAATTGTTCCCTTGGATTTTTATCACGTGGCTAGGCATGTCAATGAGTCGGGTCTTATCCAGATCCAACCTAGATCCAATATATTTGGATAGGATTTGAATTTAATTTCTCAAATCCAGACCCTACTTAGACCCAGACCTTGTGAGAGAGTCATGGGTCTGGATAGGGTCTGATTTTCTAGAATTCATATCCAAATTCAGATTCATACCAGACCTTATCCAGATCCATATTTATTTAATTAAATAATATATATATTAGTAAATTTATAAAATAATATAATATTTTATGGCTATTGGATCGAATACAGTAAGATTTTATGGCATTAGAATCTGTATTTAGTATTGGTGGTTGGGTGATTGATGAGACTCGTGGCAAATTGCTTCTAGATATGGTTGAAACATTAGTGATTACTGATGATTGGATTGAATAAAAAAAAATGAGTAAGTGTTTATAAATTTTTTTATTCTATTATTTATTTGCCATCGATTCTTAGTCAAATGATTTTTATCTCATTGACTATTTTAGTGCTGGACTGCGAGACATCTACCAATATTGAAGTTTAAATAAGAAAAAGAGGTACAGAATTACATTTTTTTAATAAGACTAAATATTTATATATGTTATAGTTGTTTTCTTTTTTTAAAAACTAGTCCTAGTTATCATTGTAATTGATACAAACTTTTTCAAGAAAAGGAGAAAAGGTAAAGGCAAACAAATGAAATATTGGATGTGGATACAGTTGAATCTTTGAAAATATATAGAAGTAGTCAATAATAATTCTTTCTTTGAATTCACAGTATTGCATTCAACTTGTTGAATGTTAATTTTATTATTTAAAAACAAAAATTGGATGGTATTTATAGTATTTATGAACTCTATATTTAAATACATTTTTACTTTAGTATGTTCAGAAAATATCCATGGATGCCCGTTGGTATGGATTACTTTTTCAGATTCAAAAGGGTATGGATCTGGGTCTGAGTCTAACTAAATTAAATGGGTCTGAATCTGGATCAAAGGGATCCAACCTAGACCCTATCCATTGACATGTCTACACATGGCAATAAAATATTTCAGCCAAAAAAAAGGGGTACAAATAGAGTAGATTTCTCTTTTTGGTTTTGATGAGGGGTGGAGGAGGTAGGAGATTCTTTTTTTTCTTTTTTGGGTGGGAGTGGTGTGCGCAGGGTATTGGGCAGTTGGGGTACTTTCGTGGCAACGTTAGCTACTTCTGCCTAATTCAGTTGCAGAAACATTACGCTATTAGGTTCACCAAATTAACTATCCTAAGAGCAGAGCAGTAGCAGAAAATCCTAATTAGTATTTGGATTATTGTCTTTCGTGACTAATTCTTCCAAATTCTCCAAGGCTTCATTTTTATTGAGGAATTTGATAAAAAATTTAAAATTTATTCAAATCGTTGTAACTGTTTGGATTTCTTGATAGTCATTTGGATTTGTAATACAATGATATTATTAAAATATATTTTAAATGCTAGAATAATTAATAATTTATAAATTTAAATACCTCTTAAATAATATAAATAAGGATTCAATAGAATTTCAAATCTTTTGTCAAATATCTTTGATCCAAACGCAAGAGCCTTATCATATCTCCCCTAATGGTCATAGTTTACGTGTGAACTTGACATGCGTGCATTTACTTTTAGCATGAAAAATGTGATTTGGTTGGACTGGTTGGTGGTCGATATTTGCTACTATTAGTAGTATTTGATTTGCCTTTGGATTTCAATTTTCATGTATAAACATGTAAGATTGGTCCAGAAGCTGATGGTTGCCAGATGTCAATCTTTTAAATCTTCATCGACTGGATAGATGAAGTGATATGTGCCACAGATTCGGTAGGTGAACTTGATAGGCAGAGCTTTGGCCCTGTGGCCAAGTCCCTTTTACAATAAAAAAAAAAAAATTAAAGTAGATTTTAGGGCATTTTTTTTTATTTATTCAAATCTGTATATTTATTATTATTTGTTTAATTTAATTTAATTTATATATTTATTAGCCCTTTTCATAATCTCTTTAACTTCTGCTCATCTGACAAGTGTTTGATGGGTTGTCCACCCACCCGGCATGTCACATTTCTACAAAGGGCCTTACAACTCCGTTTCCTTCAGGTTCTTCCTACTTGTCCTTGAGAGGAAACACGGTCCCCCCCGCCGCGGAGGGGAGGGGTGGTGTCGGGGAGGACCTGACTGATGCATGTCATTTAACGGACTCGTATAATTAAAAAGAGTAACATTAAAAAAGTACTTGAAGGAAAGAGATGAAACGTTGATTTTATAAATACCCATTATGCGTGTATATAAGTTATATTAGTAAAAAAAATAAAAATAATTAAAAGTTAATACACACATTTCATCACTGAAAAAGTTCACATTTAATAAATTCGGCAATATAAATAAGCAACAAAATTGTACTAATGATGAAAACAGACTAGTCATCCCTTTTAGCATGATGTTTGCTATAATTCCTGTAATTTTGAACAACAAAAATTTCAAATTTTGTCTTCCTTTTTCCTCTTTCCTCTATTAGGTATATCAATTGATGTTATTTTATAAATACAAGTCATCGTTCATTATTAAAAAAATTTCAACAATTATTTTCATTAATTAGTGCTCTAATTATTTAATCATTTAGATATTAATAAAGGAGAATGGAGGGAAAAGAATGGCAAAATTCGAAAAGTTTTTCATTCAAAATCACAAAAATCATGTCAAAAGAGTGACTAGTCTATTTTGCTGAATCTTGTGATCATTATTATAGTTTTGTTATTTATTTGTGTTGTCTAATTTATTAAATGTGAACTTTTTAAGTGATGAAATGTGTGTATTAATTATTTTTATTTTTTTACTTACAACTTATATACATGCATAAGGGGTATTTATAAAGTAAAAATTGTATCTCTCTTCTTAAAGTACTTTTTAATATTACTTTTCTAATTGAACTAATTTTGTTATCAAAACCTTAACATCAAGGAAGGTTTGTTTAATTTTGCAAACTTCATGAGAGGCTAGTGAAATTGTCAGAAACTTTAGGAGAGATTTCTGAAATTATCCCTATTCTAAACTCTTTCGCCTAATATTCCAAAAATCTTTTGCGTACATTTGATTAATTCGTCCTATTTTAATTACTAAAAGATGTTGCTATCCTTGCCAATTTTTGCAATTGGCACTATGTAAAGGGGTTGGACTTTGGATTATGTGAATTTTCGTACTATTTGTTTTTGTTTTTATTTGGATGCTGTTACCAGATTGGGGCTAACTGTTTCTCTACATGATTATGATGTATTTTGATATTCCTTTCCCAAAAAAAAAAAAAAAAACAGAAGAATGAAAGCTAGAAAAAGACACTAGTACGTGGCGATAATTACCGACAATTGTTGATCGAAGGATTGATTGTAGTAGGATAATTGCCGACAATAATTTCAGAAACATCCTCTAAGATTTCCAACAATTGCACTGATCTCCCTCAAATTTTTAAAAATTCTACAAATCTCCCTAAAACACGTTAGCTTGTAATAAGTCAAGCCCAATTTAAAAATTAAACAATAAAAAACTGGGTTCAAGCGAGAGAAGACCATATGATTCTAGAGATGCCCTTCATATGTTACGTTAGTTAGCTAATCTATTATAAAAGCATAAATTGTTATTTAAATAAAGTACAAACTAAGAGGTGTAAGTACAAATAAGGGTACTATCGAGCCGAGTCGAGCTTGAGTAGCACCATACTCGAGCTCGAATTCGATCAGAATCAGTGCTACTCGAGCTCGAACGAGTAAATAAATTTGGACTCGAGCTCGACTCGATAAAATAAAACTAAACTCGAGCTCAATTAAATATCAAGCCTGATTTACTCGAACTCGAGCTCGAGTTTTGAATTAAATCTATAAATTTTTCTCAAAATATATAATATGAATATAATATGAATATATAATATAAATATAATATGAATATATAATATAAATATAATATGAAAACTCGATTAAACTCGTCGAGCACTCGAGTATTTATTTTTGGAGTTCGAACTCTTCTCTTTGAATGTAACGAGTAGAGCTTGAGCTCGATTTGACCGAATTCAAACCAAGCTTTTGATCAAACTGCTCGCAAGCTACTCGCGAGCGGCTTGTCTTGATTGCACCCTTAAGTACAAATGCTTGCAAATGCAAAGTATCAATTTCAAGCTTCTACAACTATTTGCAACGGCGGCTCTTTACAACAGTTACTTCCAGGAATACTTATATAACAAAATCAACAAACAATCACAGAGAAATTCTAGAGAGTTTAGATTAAAGAATTGAGGTGGAATCACTAAAAATATAATAAGAAAACTAGTTTAAACCACGAACTGGAATAACAAGGTATGATCTTTTCAAGCCATAGAAAAAGGCTTGAACAAATATTGCATTGTTTTAGTTTTAAATTGTGATTATTTAGAAATTGGCGTCCTTTTCTCACAATAAATTAGAATTTTTTTTAGTTTTAAATTGTGATTATTTTATTTATTCGATTGGTTACTGATTTAATTGATTAAGTCCACTTAGTTGCCACATATCTTATAACCTGTAGGGCTATCATCATTTCACCGGGTTTGATGTAAGCATTGGAACCCAATTTTATGATAAGGGAGGT